CGGGGTGCTCAGAGGAGGGGGCAGAGTTGGGGCAGGGACTTTGGGGAAGGGGTTGGAATGGGGGCGGGGTTGGGGCGGGGCCGGGGCCCCGTGGAGTGTCCTCTTTTTTAAATGTTTGAATACAGTAACCCTATCTTAGTTTACCAGCTAATGTCACCGAAGATTCCATCCGCACTGAACATGCTCCATTCCCTCACAGTTCTCACGTGTGAGCACATTTCACATGCACCGTCCCACCTGCACAGAGCAACCGAGCATGCTCCATCCTGGGGCCGCAGGGGCTGAGCAAGGTTTTCTTTGCAATTGCCCCTCCCTGCTCCTAGGGCCGGCAGCAATTTGGGCACAGGAGCTGAGAGCAGACGGCCTGTCTCCCCTGTGCAATCAGTCCCATCCTCCCTCACTGGCACCCAAGCAGCAAGAAGGAAAGGGAGGAACCAGCTTGACTGGAGTGCTGGGCGGGGGCGGGGGGAAGATATGGGGAGAGGAAAGTTGGAGGAGCCATGAGGAGAAGAGGGGCAAGAGCCCAGAGTGGGGCGGAAGCAGAGGGATTCAGGAGACAATGCAGGGCAATAGAGGGAGAGGGAGACAGACGGAGTGGGGGGTAGCTGGGTCTGTAACCACTAGGGAACACTCCCTCCAGAGCTTGGAATTGAACCCAAGAGTCCTGAGTGTCTACATTCCTCTGCTGCCCGAAAATAGCTGGGAAATCTGCTAGCAACGTCTTTTTCATCACTCTCTGGTGCTTGCTCTACATAGAGGATAACAGCCAACTACTGCTACCGGTTGCTCTGTGAGCTGGGGTAGTAGAGGTCTGTGCCATGGATCTAAAGGTTAACTTTTAGGTTGCACGGGCAGCCTTCAGTCGAAAATTTCCCAACTTTGAATGCTTTGACTTTACAATCTTAATGTCCCTTTGATGGTTTTTAATGTAATTTGTTATCAGAACCAAATATTCAGAGTCAACCCCCCAGCAGTCCAGTTTGCAGGCAGCCTGTGCTCAGGATCACTGGACCCAATGCTTGCCAGTCATTTGTCATCTGCTTGTAGGTCCCCCGTTGGTGGAATGGCCCAATTGGAGCGTTTTCTGGGAGGCGTGTTGGTACTTCAAGTCTCGGGTCTAGTTTCTAGTAATGCTCGGCTCCTTCCATGATTAGGAATGAGGCCAGCAGGGAATGTGAATACACTGAGACCCTGCCCACCGTCGCTGGCTCCCGGCACTGACTCCATCTCTGCTTTCCTTTTCAGGGAAGATGCTGTTGCTCCAAAGACGCCTTCTTGGGGTAAAAGTTCCGGTTCTGACATTGTCTCCAAAAATGGTACCTTGTCGTCCGTGCACACGACCCGGGACCACAAACTGTACCCGTCCAAGCCCGCTTCAGACACAGCCTCCATCATCACCGCCGCCGGCAGCACAGTGGGCTACAGACCTCCCCATAGCCACCCGAGGAGCAGAACCCTGACGCCCACTCCCAGCTTGTCCAGCCAGAGCCTGCCCCTCTACTTCCCACCAGGAATGAACGGCGGCCATTACCCGAGCACTGTGCCAAGCAACAGGAGCGCTCTGCACAGGACAAATGGGGCACAGCCGCAGGCCCCCCGGCAGGAGCCCACTGTCCCTCAAGGGCTAACCACCTCTACCCTTACCAGAATGGGTGCGGTGCCAGTCATGGTGCCTGCCCAGAGCCAAGCAGGGTCTCTGGTGTAAGCATCCAGCAGCGTGGGTGCCCTCTGTATGCTGGAGAGGCTGGGGAAATGGCCATTAATCCCAAGCAAAGCAGACTGGAAACATAGCGACCAAGCCACCTCCAAGCTCCTGTGCATCAGGGCTGAGCGTGTGAGGGGGAGCCGTGCACACGGCATCACGCACCGGCTGCGGGAGCTTCCCAGGGACAGGCTTCCTCAGATATACACTCTGCCAGCTCCCAGTGTTATCCTTCCAAACGCCTTCCGGCCCTGGCCCGGTCCCCCTGAGGGCTAGGAGCCAGCCTGGGTTCCCTCCGTGTGGGGAGGCCGCTGGCCAGCAGACTGTTTATTGAAGGAATGTCGCTGCTCTTGGTGTTGCTAGTTCCCTGCTGTGGACTTCAGCCCCTGCTGCTTCTTGTAGGACAGGGGTTTTCAACCTTTTTTTCAGCTGCGGACCCCTAACAAATTTCGGATGGAGGTGCGGGCCCCTTTGGAAGTTCAACCTGTGTTCTGCGGATATAGGTGTTGGAACAATGTGTACGGTGGGGGTGCTGAGAGCCATTGAACCAAACTCTAACCCCTATGTATGATGGAAACCATATCAAGCCAGGGGGTGCAGTAGCACCCCTCACCCCCCGTAGTTCCAGCACCTATGTCTGCAGACTCCTCCCATTGAAGTCTTAGACTGCAAACTGGCTGAACAGAATTCAACTGTAAACGTTGCCCGTGCTTGGCACGGCATTCGCCACACGGGAGAAAGGGCCCTGGGCTTGCATGGTAACGACAGCACTTCTGGGGTTTGGCCTGTGGGTGGGGGTTATTCACAGACGTTTGGTTGATCAGAAAAACGGAATGCCTTTTCTGGGATCCGCGGCCCACAGGTTGAAAACCGCTGTTGTTGGAAAAGCCCTGCTGAGATGAGACGGTCTGAACCCATCCCAGGGATTTCAGCGTCAGGTAGAACTGGAACCTGTAAACATAGCGCTGCCCTTCCCTCGGGCTGGCACAGGGCAGGGCTGCAGCTGGGCTGACCCCAGCACAGGCTTGGTAATTTCCAGCCTGAGGGAGCCACCACCACAGGGCTTGAAAGATCCACTTGCTAGTTGTGGGGAGACCGGACTGCTCGGCCAATGGTGTCTGGGGGATTCAAGCTTCTGCTTCCACCTTGTGGCTGGGAGGGGGCCTCCCGCATGCGACCCCACATGGTGCCACTTTGTTGGTGCTTGGAGGGAGTTTACCCACGGCTGGCAAATGCCATCCACAAGATGGCGGTCGGCCTGTGGCTTGCTTGGAGCAGCAGCCCAGGGGCTGAAGCGACTTGCTGGGGGAGAGGTGACATAGTGGAGAGTCCCCTTGCGCTATGAAGTCGGGGGGAGAGTGCCCCTTCCCTGTCACCAGCCGGTGGAGGCGCAGGGCCTTGGCTGGGAGGGCTGTACGGATTCAGGGGCTTCGCCCCCGGGTCTCGCTGTGAAGACCTGCCCTCATTCTGGGTCTGCCCCGGCTTGTAGCTGCAGTCCTGTGGCTAGTAGGTGTCGGGCTCTGCTTGCCCAGACTGACACTCGTAGACCCTGTTCTGCCTAGGCCAAGGGACCCCGCCCCACCCCACCCCATCGCCTGCTCTCTGAGTGCTCCAGCCACCTGTTCCAAGTGTTGGGAGACAGGTCAGAGTCTCCCCTGGGATC